GAGCAACAGGATGAGCTATATGGCAGTGGAGGGGAAGTGCTCACACCCAACAGATCAGAGTCATTAATACTCTTGTTTTGTATGCATGGCTATGCACTAAGGGCTCCAGGCATAGGAGAGCAGTCAGGTAGAGAACTACAGGTGAATGCATTTTGTTGACTTACAGAGCTTTCCTTACATCGTTTGGATTTCCAGAATGCTGTGGGCAAGCTGAGGTTGCTATGGCTGGACCTTAGAAAGACTGGGGAATTCTCTTTGGGAATAGAGCAGAAATGATGGGGAAGGGAGGGGAGCTCATGACACAAGCCAGAGCAGATTAGAAGAGTGAAAGAGCCTCGTTTATCCTGTCCTGGGGAGAGATTTACAGTCACAGAGCTGTTGATGAAGGCCAGTAATTCAACCATTTTAATGAGCCTGTGTTGCCCCTGAATACCACTCCAGCTTTTTCCATTGACACATTTTCCTCTATTTGGAACATGCTGCTGGGAAACTGGCAGAAAAGGAGAAAACAATCTGCAGCAACAATATCTGGGAACAGGATCCTCATACAGGGGCACAAAAGAGATGGCCTTTTCTCACTGGGATCTCATAATCAAATGTGTGCATGTGCCTGTATATTGTGCATCAGGACTGGTGATCTCACTTCTTTATCTGGGAGCAAGATTACATAATGATGTACACTTGGAAGAACAATTTCCTCTATTGCTTATGAATAAGGGGGGACTGGAGTGAAGGAGAAGATAATAATTGACCTACTGACATTGATAGAACATTAGTATCTTATAATTCCCTCAGGGAGTGGAGATGGAGAAAAGGTTAAAAAAATCCCAGACAAGAGGAGTCAGGAAAGTAGAAGAAACCAGTGAAATGAATTATCCTTTCTTTCTCTCTTACACACCCATTCACCTTGACTTGAAGGAAGAAAACAGAACAAAGTTCAATCTGTCAGTATTATATGAAGAGAACCTGGAGTGAAATGAATCTCTACCAATGGCACCCTCAGTCTTGATTTTGGCCTGCCCATTTTAGCTTTCTGCACTTTCCAGCATCAATCTTGGTTAAATCCCATTGTATCTCATGCTGTTCCCATCTATTCGGTCTCTAGAGCTTTGTTGCTGGTACCTACTATAACCTAGAGGGACGTGGTGCAGCCATCAAGCTCCAAGGACCATGCAAGCTGCTCCCTGTGTGTTTGGGAACTTATTCCAGCTTTGCTACAGGGGGGACAAAAGCCCCTATTGTCCAAGCCTGTGGGAGAGTCTCAGAGTCTTGCTTAAACTAAAACCAAGAAAGAGCTGAAGCGTGCTAGTGAAAGTGAAATGTGCAGCTTGGAAAGCTTTAAGAAGGCCTTCAGGTAGGGGGCAAATTGCAGCTGGGAAAGAAGTTGGAACAAAACTGTGTTTGTAAACAAGTTTCTGCTGCCCTGCCGAGCACTTGGGAATTCTTGCAAAACACAGCCAGTTGGGTTGCAGGCCCAGCAAGGGAGAAAAAATAATGAAATCAATTGTTATTACTTTGCCTTCTCTTGTTACTCCCCCAATGGAAAAGCTGTAATTGAATTTGATGCACAAAAGGTAACTTTCAATGCAGCATATTCATTGGTTCCTTAGCTAAGCTGGGAGAAACTGTTTTATTTTCCTCAACCTTTTCCTGTAGAGCCATCTGTTGGCAAACGGCAGGATTAATCTAATTCAAGCATTACTATTCAGTCCAATATGGAGAAATGGCAACAGATGCCAATGGTGCAAACGCCTCCCTAAAATTTGGGATAGTCAGAAGGTTCTGTAACTTGATGAAAGTGGAGCTTGTTCAAGGCATTTCCTTGAAGCCAAGATTCTATTTTTCTGAAACACAAAAAGCTTTCTTATATATGCTGTTAATCCATCTAAATGGATCCTGATATTTATATTGTAAAATAGCACTGTTGACTGCCATTTGTTTTTTAGTTCAGACATAAGTGTTGTTCTCTCTAATCTGGAGATGCCAAGAACTGAACCAACAAAGCACAGGTTCTATTGCTCAGAAACAGCCCTTCTCTAACTTTGAGGTTGAATAAATAAATGAGTGGTTTTATTCCAATCTAGTCATCTAGAACCCAAATGATTTAAATGAACTGCAGTGACAGAGTAGAGTGAGTTATCGCTTGTGTCTAGTCACAACTATCAACTAGAAAGCTTAAGGGACCAAATGTAATAGAAGACTATTTCATGTTGGCATATATGTAAGTATCTTACAAATGCTTATTAAGAGTGTTTGAAGCTGCCTCCTGCTCTGATGGTGCTACTTTACTGTTCACTGGAGAGAAAGAGAGGTGGAGGAAGGGTGAGTGAGGGTGCCCTTCCCATTTCCAGTTCCAGTTCTGCTGCTGCTGGCATATAGACCGGATATCCTTTCCTGAAACCAGTGCTGACCTCAAGCAAAAATATTCTCCACCTTGAGTAAACAATTCTTTTCACACATTCTATTTTTTTAAAACAGAAGCCCAAGAAAGGAAACAAAGTAGCTTGTATATCTCCATTAGAGTATTTTTGCCCCCAAACTAGTGCATATAGGTACAGAATATCTGTAAATCTCTCCATGTTTTATGCTGTTTTCTTATGAATTAAGCCAAATTGAGGACTATCATATCTGGGCTGCAAAAATCAGGACAATCACTTGATAGCTTCAGAGATATAGGCAGTCCTCAACTTACAACCACAATTGGGACCAGAATTTCCATCGCTAAGATGGCAATCCTGGCAATCCCTGTCACTGTCATTAAGTGAATTTCACCAGTCATTAGCCAAGGACCCACCCCAATCCAAGCCATTCCGGGCTTGGCCCCTCCAAGCCCTGAGCCTCAGTAAGGTAAGGGACTGCCTCCAATTCCCCCCACCTGCCTATTCCCCCCCCCCCATCTCTGCCCTTTTGGCATTCCTGCACCCTGCCTTGCAGGGCAGCAAGCAGCTCCATAACCGTGTGGCCCTGGGGCTGCTTGCCAGAATGCGGCTCAGGGGCTTCTTGGCACATTGCAGCTCTGGGCTGCAAGAAGCCCCTGAGCTGCAACGCAGTGCAAAGCCCTTTGCAGTGTGACGCTCAGCCTCAGCATGGCCCAGCAGCATGGTGCAAAGCTGCAGCCACCCCGGGAAGCCGTAGCCACCCTATCCCAGCCCCAAACGTAATTGCCCTTGCCACCCTGCACTCCGAGACCCCTGCTGCCCTACACTCTGTCATCCCAGCTGATCTTTGCCATCTTCTTGCTCCCGCTGCTAATGAGGCCTGCCCACCCTGGACCTTTGCGAGGCAGCTGCTGGCCATGTGAGGCTATCTTCCCCAGGTCTCATGAGGAAACCGCCGTGTGCGACCTGAGGAAGAAAGGCTTGTGTGGCCCGCAGCTGCCGTGTGAAGGGCCAGGCTCGGCATGCTTGGTCAGCAGTGGGAGCAAGAAGACAGGGAAGATCAGCTGGGATGGTAGGACATAAGGCTGCAGGTGGCCAAAAGGGCATAAATGGGGGGGAGATGGGGGGGAGTTGAAGTGCCCCTGCGGTCGTAAGTGTGGGCGGACTGCGAAGACCCCGAATTTTGATCACATGGCCACGGGGGCACTGCAACGGCCGTAACTTAGGGAACTGGTCGTCAGTCCTTTTGTTCAGTGCCGCCGTAACTTCAGATGACCGCTGAATGAATGGTTGCAAGTCGAGGACTACCTGTTGAATTTTCTGTATTTCCTTGTCACCATTGTGGTCATCTGGATTATTGCAGTCCAAATGTAGCAGCCTTGTGGTCACTAACTACAAATGTCAAGTTTAACTACACTTATTCCTCCACCAACTAACTTTTCAGTTAAAGTAGGTGATGGGGTATAAGCTCACTGTTGGAGCACATATCTGCATGGGAAGGGCTGAGAAGGAGAAACAAAATTGGGTAGAAACAAAACATTTATGTTTTTGAGAAACAAAAACATAAATAAAATTGATAATGTCTTGCTAGGTTAGGGAAAGAGGCTGAAAGTAACAGAATTAAATTTAACAGAGAAAAGTGAAACATTATTTGCTTAAGAAACAAATATAAAATGCATATGAACACAATGGGTATATTGTAACTGGACCCTCTGTGCTTTTGTACATATGTAAAAGAAGTTGGAATAGTATTGCACTGCAAACGAAAGAGGAGTCAGCATGGCGATGTTACTGCAAAAATAGCCAAGGCAATTTTAGGCTGCATCAAACAGAAATTAATCCCCAAATCATGGGGAGTAATTATTCTGTTTTGGTTAGACATCACCTCAAGCACTGAGTCTAGTTCTTTAAGGAGGTTTCAGAGAACCTGGATCAGATCAGATTCAGAGGAGGGCAACAAAGATGATCAGAGGACTAAAAACAGATTGAAAATGCTGGGTAGATTTAACTTTAAGAAAAGACAATGGAGGGATATATGATAGCGTTCTTCCAATACCTGAAGGATATCACATGGAAGAAGATCAAGACCAATTTTCTCTCACTCCAGAATGCAGGACATGGAATAAGGGATTTAAGTTACAGTAAGGAAGACTGAGTATCAGAAAGAAAGAAAAAATCAACAGGAGGATGGCTCCCGTTTAAACGATCCGTTCAAGCAGAGGATAAGGACAGTCAGCTGTTTGGCTGAGATGCTTTAATTTGGATTCTTGGACTAAGCAGGAGTATTGCACTCAGTGGCTAATATGGCCATTTCCAACTCATTGTTTCTGTGACTCCTGCATTAAATCCTGAAGAGTTCCTTCCACCTGGCTATGTATTCAAGAATAGCCAAAAAATGGACAGGGAAAGCAATGAAGAACAAAAAAACTTTTCAAAGGTGCAGCCGAATGCTATTAATTTCCATGCGGAAGAAAATAAAATCCGATTATGGAAACATTTTCCACTGCAGTGCCTGTGTTAATGGCAAGTTTTTCCCAAGATGGTAGCATGGGAATCTTTGATGCAACAGTTCCCATATACCGATTCTAAAGCTTACGGATAACCACAGACATATGTACTCACAGTCTAGGAAGCACCATTTGGGGGAGAGCTTCTGGCATGACAATATCTTTGGTTTGGCTTCATCTCCCTCCTGGATCAAAATAAATGAACAAGAAAAAAATCAACTCTTCTCTGTCCTTATTTCATCCAGGCCTACTTTTTCTTCTGTTTTCTTTTTCTTACCTAGATAGGTAAACTCCATGCATATATGTTGCCAAATAGTATGGGATAGAACCAGAACACAAAGTTGTACAGCTCAACAAACATGCCCAAAACATCACTGAATAGATAGTGATGCAAGCTAATCATGCATGATGGAAGCAACAGAAGGGAAAAGAGGACTCGTAGTTAAGGAGAGAGAAAAAGATACACACCTGAGGAAATAGATTCTGAATAGTGGAAGTGCAAGAAGGGAAGTCCTGTGGAAAGGGAAGGAGCTGAGTTACCACAACAGAAACGAAGAGCTTCATTAGAGAGCCAGTTTGGTGTAGCGCCAGGTTTAGAAACCAGCAGACCATAAGTTCTAGTCCCACCTTAGGTACAAAACCAGCTGGGTGACCTTGGGCCAGTCACACCCTCTCAGCCCTAGCAAGGAAGCAGTGGCAAACCACTTCTGAAATTTTGCTAAGAAAACTGCAGGGACTTGTCCAGGCAGTTGCCAGGAGTCATCACTGACTTGAAGGCACCCCAAAACATTTTTTAAAAAAGAAAAGCTTGCATCTCTCTGAGATTTGTGGGTGCATGTCATATCTTTGATAAGTCTCTGTAAGTCAATTGTCTCAAGTGATAAGGAGACTTTGAAGAGGGGAACTGACAGTAGAACCTAAGTGCTCAAAAATACCAGCCCCTGTAATTCAAGGACTGCCTATATCATATGTTGCCACTAAATGAAGCAATTTAGTAACTGTCCCTTTCTATAATGGTCCAGACTATCTGAAGAAACTTCAGGACTCTTCTAGACTAAGCATCTGCATTCTTCCTTACCTGGCTGATACCCAAGTACTAGACAAAGAATGAATCCAGGATGTAAGAAAGAGAGAGAACAGAAAGGAGAGGGGGTTAGAAATAAATGAACACCCCTTTCATTTTTTTCCCCTTATAAATCAGGCTTCTAGAGCGACCTTCCCAAACTTGGTGCCCCAGATGCATGGTTATTAGTTGAGCTGGACAGAAAAATTACTGGAAGCCACCAAATAAGAGAAAGCTGCTCTAGAAGGGGGCTCCTCCATACATTCAAACAGTTAAGCCAAAGGATGAAGCCAGCAGGATGTTTTATTTGAAAGAGAATTTGGAGTGTTGCCTGTGCATACTTCCTGGTAAATTGCAAGCTTCTCTTAGAAATGAAGGCAGGCCTATAGTGGGGTTTTAAATTAAAGCAGGATAAAGACAACAAGCAACATGCAAAAACCTCTCCTGACTGAAGTTATCTCCAGATTTGAGAGTGAGTCAGTTATTGTTTTGCAAAGCACTCATCACAAGTAGGAGTGAAACTTTGGAATGTTTCTTTGAGGATATTAAACAATATGGGAAGAAATGTGTACTTATTTTCCTTTATCCATCCTCTGAGTAGTTAGCTCTCTAGAGTATAACAAGAGCAACTACCTCTTTATTGATTATGGATATGTATGTATCTCCTTTCAATCAAGTTCTCTGGATAATTCATATGGATTAAATTATCATATTGCATGCCCTATCTGGATTTCTTTTTCTTTTGCATATAATTTTTTATTAATGATTTTGATTATAATAGTAAAAACTAATACAAACTAAACTTAAAGAAAGAAAATCGTAAGAAAGAATAAGAAGTGCAAGATAAGAGAGAAAAGAAAGAATATGATAAAGAAAAAGAAAAGAAATATATAAAGAAGTGACTTCCAACCTTCATTACAACAAATAAGTGCAAGATAAGAGAGAAAAGAAAGAATATGATAAAGAAAAAGAAAAGAAATATATAAAGAAGTGACTTCCAACCTTCATTACAACAAATACGGATAAATTTAGTAACTCTTCACCCCCTATAAGGTTACAGATAGATATCTCTTCATCCCATTTCTCATTCCTTATCTATAAGCAGATCCATCAACTTTTCAATGCCAGTGTTAGCAAAAAGTCTGTAAAGTTTTGCTAGAACTTTGCAAATAAGACATATTTTAACCTTGATCAAATAAACCAACTTTATATGCTTTCCCTTTACTTCTAACAGTCTTAATCTTGAGTTCATTCAAATATTGTTGTAGGATTCGATTTCTCTTCAATTCTTCTTTATTCCATCGCACAGACATCTTCAACGGTTTAACCAGCCTCTTTTGTAGACCCAGTAAGAAAACATTTTCCAGGTCATTCTCTTGGTTTGTCATTTGTATTTCCCCTTTAATTTTTAAAACTTCAGCCAGTTTCTTTCGTATATCCAGTAAAGCGTCCTTTTCCAAATCATTCTCTTGGCCTGTCATTTGTAGTTCCAGTTTCAGTACTTTGTCTTGTCAGACAAAATTTGCTCCACATCTGTCATTCCCTCATTGACATCTTTTGGATATAGTCTATCCATAGAATCAGACATCATTACTGACACTGTTGATATTGTTGCTACTATTTCTGGCTCCATTCTTCAAAGTTCTCGTTCAATATTTCCAATGTTATGATGTTTTGTGCCATTTTGTAAGTTCCAGTTAACCAACACCAAAAGCTGGCTTTTATTTTTTTCCCTTTTACTTAGAACCTTTTGTCTCCTCTAATGTCCAATTCTAAAATCATAAAGTTGCGTATCTTTGTTATGAACCAAGATAGCCAAAATAACTCT